TTGCTAGGATATTATTTTAAATTTATGCATAAGTATTATTTAGTGATACTGATTATCATCTTTGCTTTGCCCCCTTTAGTTTAGGTATGATTTATAAAAGGGGTTTGATGCTGTGTTTTCTTTCTAAATTTGGAAATAATTTGCATATTTATAAGTATTAATTGCTCTCTAAATATTTGGTAGAATTTGCTTGTTAAATGTTCCTAGATCGAGGGTTTTTTTTTTCTTTGTTAATTCCTTTTGAAATGTTCACTTTTACTTTTGGAATTTTAGTTAAGGTTTCTTTTTCACTTTATTCTAATTTGGGTGTTTATATTTTATAGATAAATATTCCCTCTAAATTCTTAAATTCTTTGTATAATTTTATAAAGTATACTCTAAAATTTCATTTTTTTCTTTTTTTTATAACTTCATCTTTTGTAATGAGTATGAGCTCTTGAGTTTTTAAGATTATCCTGTGTTCTAAATACCCATTTTCATTATTTTTTAAAACTTTCTGTGGTGTTTCTGTCTTTTGATCTTGCGGATTCACCTTTGGTTATCCTACATCTGAGATGTAGTTTCTTTTTCTGAAGTTTTTGGTTTGAGAAAAAGAACTATTCCTTCATCATACCGGTTATATGATCTTTATGTTTGACTGGTAATGCCCTTCATCTTGTGTCTTCGCTTTCTACATTTATTTCACATTACTGGCCTCTATACATTCTGTATTCCTGTCACATTTGCTTGCTTAATGTTTCTTTTTCTGAATTTAATGTGTTGAAATTGTCAGAAAACAACTTCTACTATTTTTCTGTCATATCTCCCATAAATATTTACATTTAAATTTATTAATTTCAAAGCATAATATGTCAGGAGACTTTTTCAGTCACTCCTTTTAAATCCTTATCAGGCTGCAGTTTTCTCTTGTATGTTCATAGCATGTACTATTTTTGTTTTGCATTATTCAAAATCTTTCTAGATTTCTTCATAGTTTTGTGCTTGGCAGTCTTAATTGCATTATAATATTTCATTGCATTAATATACTCCCAATTTTTAAAATTCTTACCCTATTGCTGAACATTTTGGTTTCTCTCAAGTTTTTATGATTACAAATAATGCTCATGAAAATTATTCAAAATTATGAGTTCTTATTCATACTTTTGTGAGTGGTTTGATTGTTTATTTTTCATAGCATTTTCATTTTTGTTCTAGTCATTCGATTTTGGGCTAAAAGAGTATACTTAAATTTCTTAACTTTTGCTGCATACTGACAGATCCTACTAAGTTTACAATTCCTTGATCACTGTATAAATGTACATATTTCTTTGTGACTTAGCAAGAATTCATCTCTTAAAGTTTTCTTTGTTCATATATGTGTATGAAGTGGTACCTTGGTTTAAAATTACATTGCTTTCTTGATTTGATAGAATATTTTTTATAAAATAAAAATGATTTGTTTCTCCTCGGAAAATTTTTCTTTTCCTATTCGTTGATCAAATCCAGCTATTTTGTACTAGAAATTACCTTTGTAAATTTTCAGTAGTTCCGTATATATGTAACATGTGAAGTTTTTATCAGTAATAATTACTATAAACATTTCAGGTCTATTGTTTTTCTTTAAATTACTGTAATTTTTGTTGTGCAGAATTTCCTTATTTTGGATGTGAGAGTCAGTTATCTTTGCACAGTCAGACCATTGACTAGTCAGAGCTAGAATTATCAGAATTTCATAATTAACAAAAACAAAGCTAGAAACAAAACATGATATAGTCTAAAATTAATAATATTTAACTTTGAATTATTTAAACAAGTTATTGAAAATGAAAAATGGTACATGGGCAATATCAACAACATTGACAACTATATTTTTAGCCAGAAGTTACTGCAATGTAAGTTGATTACTCTACAAAAAAGATCAAAGAGCCCAGGAAGTACCTTCATCAGGAAATATATCTTACTTGTCAGATCAAAGGAAATGGATGTTGAAAGTCAACACTGAGTTAGAATATGCACTCATTTATAAAATCCTTCAAAGAAAGTTGATAAACAGCTTTAAGCAATGTCATGTTATGGAGGGAAAAAAAGCAGTGGAGTCTAAAGAAAGCTTGGTTAAACATCCAGTTAAGCACAGTAATCTCAAAAGCAAAGGATGAAAATGGAAGGAAGACAACAGACAAAAAAAAGTGGAAAAGATTTGCCAAATAATTTTGACTTTTTTGTCCATTAAGAATAGTGGCACCATCAGACTTGGATGCTAATATTACAATCCCTGGAAATGCCTACAGAAGAAGTAAAAGTGACACTAAAGAGAACAAATATCAGGAAAACAACCAGATTAGATCAAGCATACATATGTGTATATATAAATATACATTCATCCACATATTTATGCATACATGTGTATATATGCATGTATTTTTTACATATATTAGTGTGAGATCCATGTTGGAGGCAATACAGTGATATGGGGAAAATCTTGTACTTCATTGGTTCCCAAAAAAAGATGACCAAGGAAATAGCAACACTGATGTGTGTGCCTTTTTTGCTTTGTATAAAATTTTTAAGAAGTTCATGTGCATAAGAAATGAGGGCATTTTTGAAGTGAAACAACAGGACTTCACATGCAGTATTCAATAATAGAACATGTCACAATCATACAGTTGACTGAATGAGAATGTAAGCTGTTATGTTCATTATTAGTTGGTTGCCAAAAATTAAAAAAAAAAGAATTCTACTCAGTGAAAACAAATGATTAAGGGACTGTTTTATGTGAGTTGCCTCCCTATAGTAGGTCAGTATGTCACTAGTAAATTGATATATCAATATGTCATTTGATACATTGAATTCCTTTCCAGTTAGGTAGGTCTTTATGTAGAGAGTTACATTTAAATTTATTAATTTCTTCTTTTTTTTTGCATGTTCATCTCCAGTACTTTTTATTTTTTTTATTTTTTTATTTTTTTCCAAATCTTTTTAATTTTTATTTTTTTAATTTTTTTTCCATATGCTTTTGAGTTGAAAATTTTTTCTCCCTTTTTCTCCCCCCCACCCTCCCCAAAACGGCGCACAATCTGATATAGGCTTTACGTTTACATACCCATTAAACATATTTTCACATTAGTGAAGTTGTAAGTAAAAATTAAAACCAATAGGGGGAACCATCAGAAAAATGAAACAAAACTCAACAGAAGGTAAAAATAAGTGAGAGCGATTCGACTTCCATAGTTCTTTCTTTGGATGTGGGCAGCATTTTCCATCCCGAGGCCTCTGGAGATATCTTAGATCCTCGTAATGCTGAGAAGGGTTCAGTTTAACATTCTTAGTCATTGCATAATGTGGCTGCTATTGCGTACAAAGCCCTCTTGGTTCTGCTCATTTCACTCAGCATCAGACTATGTAAGTCTTCCCAGGTTTTTCTGAAGTCAACCTGTTCATCATTTCTTATAGTACAATAGTATTCCATTACATTCATATAGCACAACTTGCTCAGCCATTCCCCAATTGATGGGCATCCTCTCAATTTCCAATTCTACCACAAAAAGAGCTGCTATGTATATTTTTGTACATGTGGGTCCCTTTCCCATTTGTTTGATCTCTTTGGGATATAGCCCTAGAAGTGCTATTGCTGGATTAAAGGGTATGAACATTTTTGTAGCCTTTTGGGCATAGTTCCAAATTGTAAATTTATTAATTTCAAAGCATAATATGTCAGGAGATTTTTTCAGTCCCTCCTTTTAAATCCTTATCAGGCTGCAGTTTTCTCATGTATGTTCATAGCATGTACTATTTTTGTTTTGCATTATTCAAAATCTTTCTAGATTTCTTCATGTTTTTGTGCTTGGCAGTCTTACTTACATTATAGTATTCCATTGCATTAATATACTCCCAATTTTTAAAATTGTTACCCTATTGCTCAATATTTTATATATTTTAAAAGAAAAATAGGGTGGGGTATGGGAAAAGGTCTTGTTCTCTTTGGGAATCAACCTGGGTTGAATATGGCTTCAAGTCTTTGCTCTAATATAAGCTAACTTTATGACTGAGGGCAGATCACTTATCCACTCAGGTCCCTGCAGTCTTCTCTAGAACAATGTCAGGTAGGATTAGCTGCTGTGCAAGGATGGGGGGAGTTTCCATATGGCATTTTTCTCCACATAATCAAGTGACAGGTCTGCATTTAATAATTTTTAAAAACCCTCAAAATTAGTGTATCTTTTTTTGGGCAATGCTTTTAATTTTTGTGAGTTTTAAAATTTTCTCTTTGTGCCTTCTACTTTACATTTCACTTTGTCAAGTATTTTTAGTGTAGTTCAACATTTTTTGCTCTAACATACTTCATGATAACATTTATTCCATTATTTCTATTTAAATCTATATATGTCTTTTGAAAAACTCATTCTAGTCCTAAGTCAAAAACTAAAAAAAAAAAACAGAAAAAAGCACTACACTTTGTATTTTGACTCAAATACATATAAAACTCATCTTTTCCCTGCTCTTCTATGAAGAGAATCCTGACAATGACTTTTCTCCTTATTCACCCAGCTTTTTAAGTTCTACAACATTGTAAAGCACTTTTACTTTTTCTTTTTTTCATTATCTATCTCTCTGTTGCCATACTTGTTTTTCCTCCAAACTGTTTTAGTAATTTCATAACCAGTATAAGTTGATTTATTTATATCATCCTGTGGAAAAAATCTCTGCTATAACAGCTAACAGTATTTACAACCATAGTTAAGTTCTTAAATCTCTCATGCTACCTCAAGTAAGACTTTTTTTTAAAAGTCGTGTAGTTTGCTCTACATATGCTTTAAGCTTCTCTGGGTTTTTAAATGAATGTTTTTGTTTTTAAAAAGAATTCTTAGCTTTACTTAGAAGTTGATATTACATTGGAAATCCATATTATACAAACTTTTTTTCAGTTTCTTTGGTCATTTGTGTTTTTTGTTAAAAAATAATTTTTTTTTCTCAAACACTGTTTAATGCTTCTTTGTTAAGTAATTATGTCTTTCTTCTTTTAGCAGCTTGAAAAATTTTTGTCATCATAGTTTTGAAGTCTGAAGATAATGTGCCTGGGTGAGTTGAATTTGGAATTTCTTCATGTTACAGTTCTCTGAATTCTGTTTATTTCCAGAAGATTGCTTTTTTTAATTGTTTTTAAAAGATTTTGCACATTTCCCAAAATATAATGATTAGATTTTTTTTCTTCAGTATTTCCAAGAATACTTCAAGCATTTTCCCCATGTCCAACTGTCACCAGCATTTCAGTTATTTTCTGAGCTTTTTTTCCATTTCAGTAATCTTGTCAGCCTTTCCATTTCCTTGTGTAACAATCTTGCCTTTAGTTGTGTTCTTTGGTATTTTAAAAATCTCTATAACTTTTTTCTATTCTGCTTCATTTCATTATAATTTTCCTGGATTTTTTAACAACTGTCTTTATTTCTAAAAGAGGCTCAGCAACCAAATTTCTTAGCCATGGTAATACCTTTGCTGCGTTGAAAGATCTCTAGTATGTGATATGTACCTCCTGGCGGACTGAGTACTACAGAATTATATGTATTTTCCAGCCAATTGCATCCTTAGGGTCAGGAACTGTTTTCTAACTTGTTTTGTAATTACCTTCAGTGGCCCATATGGTGTTCTTCCCACAGTTGCCAGTCTTCAAATTTAGTTTGCTTGAGCCTTTCTGTAAAGGTAAAATAGCATTGAAATGTACGTTCTTCCCAAGATCTAAATCACAAAGAATCCAAGTCAGGTAAATATTATTAAAAACATTTTCAATATTCAAAACGGCCTTGTTAAACAGTCCATGTTAAATAACATGGAGACCAGTTATAGGAAATATTGTTGATTTTATTTTTATTTTTTGCCATTTGTAAAATTTCTTTTAGACATTAACTTTTAAAAAAATAATTAGATTGTAACCTCAGCCATTTAGATTGAAAACTCATTGAGGACAAGAGGCTTAACCTTCTTTTTTTGTGTCATTTGGTGATAGAGTACAATGCTAGAATTATAGACTAAACATATTTCTTCTTTAACCTTCTTTTGATATCCACACGTATTTACTTGATACTGGTACATATTTTTCACAGAGTTACATTTAATTACATAAGTTACAAATTAGACTTCTTTCTTTAAAATCCCACCTCAGTAGTTTTCCCAAGACTGTATGTGTATCTTGCTTTTCAATGAAAGCATGTAATGGCCACTGTAGTGTTCATAACTAGTATCATGTTCTTTTATAGGAATCTCTTTAAAGATTCAAGATATTTTTAAAGTCCAAAGAGTAAAGCACCCTCTTTAGACAATTTCATTATCCTTGGATTAGTCTTGAAAATAGCCTATCTTAAGTACCTGTTTATACACAAGTCAGTGCTAAGTGCTATTCCAGGAAATTTAGATGGAAATAGTACAGGCTTTCTAGAGTAGTGTATAACACATATAGGTGTAGGTGTGTTAGTGGTTAGAAAATAATACACTAAAATTTAGTGTTTGGTACTTCATTGATTACATATTATTTAGTCTTACATAAAAATATGATTTGGTGACTATGTATCCATAACAGTATGGAATATATTTTCATTAGTACTTCAAATTTATTCATAAAATTTGTGTAACAGATTGTTTTAAAAACAACTTTTTTTATTTGTTCTATTTACATGATAATTACCATGCCCATTTATTTGATATCTATTTAAATTGAAAACATCTAATTTAATAAATTGTTTAATGACCCAAGTTGCTTTTGTTGTCAGAATAGTCAGGAGAATCCTCTTTTTCATGTTACTTGTATTCCTTGGGAGCCTATCCTCAAACACTCTTTCTCCCAACTCTCAACCCAAAGGTTATATATAAGAACTTCACACTTAACCTAAATAGTAGGGTTATAGTCCTGACCCATTTTTTTTTAATTTCCTGTTTTCCAACCTTGCCTATTATTTTGATATGTTATTTTTGTATGTGTATCTGTACACACTTTTTCTTCAGCCCTTGATCAGTTTCACACACAACCGCCAAATAAAAATGAATAAAAAACCACTTTCATCTAGACCCATGCTTTATACATGGTAAGTTTAAATAAATGTTTCTTGAAGGAATATCTAGCAAAACTTGAGAGTTGCTTTATACCTAACACATTAAGTCAAAATTTCTTAGCTTGATACTCAGAGCCCTTCATAACTTGGCCCTAACCTATCTAATGAATTTTATCTTTTGCTGTTCCCCAACTCAGATGCTCCTCCACACAAGTAAACATAGCTTCCCCAAATTCTCTTCTCCCTCTTGCCCCTGTATGTCACCCGTACACACACAGTCACACCATTCTTATTTATCTCTGTCTTGATTCATACAATTCTCCATGCAATCCTTTCATATTTTTTGCCTATTGAATCGCATCCAGTTTTCAATACTCTTCCTCTGTGAAGCTGCCTTTGATTATTTCAGAAACTGATAATCTCTACTAATTATAGGTGCTTACAGAATTGCCATGCAGCTTGGTATTTAGAATCAGTTTTAAATCTAGAAAAGAATCTTAAAGATCATCTAGTCCAACACCTTCATTTTACAGGTGAGGAAAATAACACTAAAGGAAGTTGTGAGTTGCTGAAAGTCAAACAAAAACTGGCAGAACCAGGGTAGAAAACAATGCCCTCTAACTTCAAATGAATCTTTCCACTAAGCCATGATGCCTTCATTAGTTTATACTTCTTTGTTCTTTATTCAGTTTATATGTCCAAACTCTCATCTCTCCAACAAAACTGTACACTTCTCTACAACTAGCAAATTTTCTTGTAATGGTTTTATATACCACATCTCTAAGAGCCTCTTCAGCTCTAAATTCTGTGGTCTTCTTATCCCAAAATGCTCTGCATAGTTTTAAGCATGTACTGAGTACTCAGTCAATCAATCAATAAGTATTTATTAAATTCCTACTAAATTTCAGGTGCTGGGGATACAAAAAAAGGCAAAAGACAGTCTCTGTCCTCAAGAAGCTTACAATCTAATGGAGGAGATAACATGCAAGCATATATACAAAGCAAGCTATATTCAGAATAAACAAGAAGAAATAACAAAGAAAAGGCACTAGAATTAAAAGGAATTGTGAAAGGCTACCTTTAGAAGTTGGAATTTTAGTTAAGACTTTAAGGCAGGAAAGTCAGTAGATGGAGTTCAGGAAGGAAAGTATTCCAGGCTTGGAGGACAGCCAGAGAAGATACCTGGAATTGAGGGTATTGTTTATGGAAGCCAGGAGGCCAGTGTTACAGAGTCATAGAGTAAATGGGGAGTAAGGTGTAAGAAGACTTGAAAGGTGGGAAGGAGCTAGGTGATGAAGGGCTTTGAATGCCACACAGAACATTTTGTATTTGCTCCTGGAGGTGCCAGATAGGCACTGGAGATTATTGAGTAGGGGAGTGACGTGATCAGTATTGTATTTTAGGAAAATCACTTTGATGACTTAATGGAGAGTAGATTAGAGTGAGAAGGAACTTCAGGCAGGCAGACCCACCAGCAGGCTGTTGCACTATTCAAAATGTGACATGATGAGGGTCTATACTCCAGTGGTGGCAGTATCAGAATACAAAAGGGGGTGTCTTGGAGAGATGTTGCAAAGGTGAATTCCACAGACCTTAGCAACAGATTGGAGATTGGGGTGAGAGACTTTGAGTAATCCAGAATGACACCTAGGTTGTGAGCCTGAGGGACTGGAAAGATAGTATTGCCTTTGATAATGAGTTCTGTTTTGGACTTGTTGAGTTTAAGATCTCTAATGAACATCCAATTTGAGATGTCTGAATATATTAGATTGCCTGAGGGCTTCGTGACACAAAAAGGAATAAGAACTTTGCTGTAGTAGTTCTCTTTTCACGAACTTATTTATTTCCTACTTGCATTTGGTTTTTAACCTGTGTTGAAAAAAATTGGGTATATTTATGTGTGAATATTTTTTGTCTAACTAGTTTCCATTTTTCAATAAGGATTTTCATATTTAAAAGTGAAATTGGCATCTTAGACAAATAAAAACAGCTAAATCTAAGAAGCAGCCTATAATGTCTAGCACTTTTCTTTTAATCAAAATGGAAGGTGGGGAAGAGTGGTCAAAAATGATCATGGAAATAGAATTAATATAGCTTTAATAAGAAGAGTAGGGAACCAAGCACCAGTAAGTAGAACAAAGAACTATGGGCTATGAGTCAGATGGAGTTTGTTCTACAAGTTATTAGCTGTGTAACATTGGATAACTCCTTTAACCCTTCTAAGCCTCAGTTTCCTCATTTGTAAAATAATGGTAATAATTCCTGTCCTACAAAGCACTGTCCTACATAGCATGCATTGAATTTGATCATCAAGTGTATGAAATTGCTTTGAAAACTGTAAACTGAAATGGAAGGTGTTTTAGTAATATCTTTTATTACCTCCATATGCTCAAATCTTCCATCCCCCTTCCATTCCATGCCTAATGTGGCATTTTAAAAAGTTCAAGAGACATAGATTCTGGGTAACTCAATCATTTTATTAATAAGGATAGCATGTTTGTTAATAAAAGGATGGTCATTTGGCCATCTCTCTTAGACCAAAAACCCCTCCTGGTGGTGGACTCTTGGAAGAGTAGGCATTCCTGAGGATGGCATTCAATTCTGATTGGTTAACAATTAATAAAAAAATGAATATTACAATGAGAAGTTGGACTGTATTACAGTGAGGGTCTTGGGATGCATGACTTGCATTACCCAAATCTTGGTCAAAAAGCCTTGTCAATTTCCATATCACCTATCTAACAAAAGGAAGACCTCAGACCTGTCTGAGTAAACACAGTAAGTAAGAATCCTCCCTTTGGCCCAAATGTAGAATTTTTTTTACTGTCTGATTAGATCTTGGCCTGGGTAAATCTTTGCAAAAGATTTCCCACTCTGGTTGATCTCTGGATGAGGAAGGAGAAAAGGGGAAAAACCTTGGTCCCAATACAATAATTAGCTATTAAATATAAGAAAGAAATAATCATTTCTCTCACTAATGTTAATTTACTTCAATCATATCGCCATCCATACACATCCGTATGGAAATAATTTTATGTA